AAGCGGTCAGCCTGTTGGCGATCCTAACGTTATTTTCTTCCTCTAAAGGAATTTCTGGAAAAAAAAGTCAAAGGCTTTATTCCTAAGCTATAAGTTCCCAAATTTCGCAGTGTTGCAGCTGATCTCACAGAAATAACAAAACAGAAATGCTACAAGTTGGACTTTCCAAAAAAAAAAGTGTGGTGTTGAAGCAGCAATTACACGAAATTTAAATGAAAGCTGATATTTTCAGTGAAAATTGTACAAAAAATAAGGTAATTCGATTCAAATTTTTTGTCGATAGCTCACAAATAATCGAAAAATACCTAGAGTGACGATGTGGGAATCATATGCTAGTGATGCTACTGGGATGCTTTTACAAGTTAGGAGCAGAAATTCTTTGATTCTGCGATGTTAGGGCGATATCGATGAGGAAAACTACTCAGGAGCAGTAGATTTTAAAGAGGTAGCACATACAGTTATGAAAGATGAAAATCGCTGCTTGCGAATCTACGGAAGATGAAAATCGCTGCCTGCGAAACAGCAATTTCTACGGAAGGTGAAAATCGCTGGCTGCGAAGTCGCAATTTTAACTCACTATACCGGTGTGAACATAAAAGTTATTGAAATCCGTGCTATAAACTTAGAAGAAGCTGAAGATACATAACTTACGCAAAATTATCTTAAGAAAAATAACTTACGCAAGATTATCTTAAGAAAAATTACAAAAATCGTGTCACGTTACCTTGACGTGTCCAATTTCCATACGGTATTATCGTCCGGCAAGTCAACCGTATATTTTCCTTCGTCTGCTGGTCGCACTATTACTTCACTGATTTCTGTGTTATGCAATGCCGCTTTCACCTGAAAACACCTTTACAGCAGTCCGTAAAAGTAGTAAAAACCGTTTAGAAGACGTGAAATATCTGTGGCATGGTGTTAAAAAAGCATTAGGAGGAATAATAATACGGTGGGTTGATTTACTAACTTGACTTTATATAGTGGTGCGAAATGTAAAAAAAAAAACCAAGATCCAAGTTAATGGAAAAATTGCTCGTTGCAAAAATTGCGATTCGGGCCGTAAAATTGGCCGGTGTCTGAGGCACCCAGGTATTAGCCGTGTGAGGTTCGTCTGAACAAAAAACAAAAAAAAAAATAATTGGCCAACGCACGGACTGCCGGTGCGAAGATGCGTTTTTTTTTTTGCATAGTTCCCGCAGGTTTTTGTTGCTAACGGCGCCGGGCTTTTCCGGCAAATGCTTCTAGCTAAAAGAATTGGTACTGGCCGCCAGGACTGTCAGGAAACACCCCTCCCTCTTAAAATCTTAGCTTTCTGGCTTCTCCGGTCTCCGAATTAGCAACTTGCCCGGAAAAACTTTCATGGGCCTGTATGTGGGAACCACGTGTGCTCGGGGACTTGGCTTGAACTCATTAAGGCCTACGTGGGCGAGGAACACTCCCTTAAAATTTCAGCTTTCTAGTTTCTCTGGTTCTCGAGCTAACAGCTTGCCCATTAAAAACTTTGGTGAGCCCATACGTGGATACCACACGGGTAAGAGCGCCCATTTCGGGGATGGGGGCCCGTATGTGCATATAGACTGAGGTCCCAAAGATTCAGCCCCGTAGCTTTTGTAGGTCTCGAGATGAAAAATCGGTACAGACGCGGAGCGCACACATAAACACAGACACACACACACAAACACAAACAGACACACACATACGCAGACAACCCCTCGACAATATGCATTTTTGCATTGCATAGATGCAAAAAATTCATAAAAACAATGAAAGATGCAGTGCAACGGGTCTAAATCCATCGCCCAGTTGCCTATCGAAAGATGGAGTTTCGATCATAGAAGAACAATTAAATTAGCGTGATGGTTTCAGAAAATACGCAGAAACGATGGCTAAGTAGGGGACAAGGCCCGGTTATTAGAAAATAAGGTCCAGTTATTTTGATGCAAAAAAAAAATAAAAAATAAAATAAAAAAACCCCAAGAGCGGCAGCATCGATGACATTTCCACCACACTGCAAAAGCACCACATCGACAAACACCTTCCATGCATGCATCGGTGATAAGATCAGCCTGGAAAATCAGTAAATATCCCCACTGGCACGGATCAAACACTGGCAACGAAATCCAAGGCGATCAGGAATTTGGTTACTTTTTCAAATCCGGAAGCACCAGTTCACTGTCATAGGCTGCATCCAATGCTGCACTCACTTGTTCAGCAAATTCATCACCACCTCGCCCTGGAAATTCATCACCATCTCCATTCATAATCAAAGTAAGCCAAGAGTTTTGCAAAATATTATCGCGACCCTAACTGTTACCTTGTTAGACTAGTGTGTGTAAGCGTGTGTACGCGTGTACGGTGCCGCGTCCTATATACATATTTATTAATAAAGCGAGAATACATGCTAAAGCGAGAATACAAATCAATGTGATAAGGCTCTGGAGAGCCGAAGCTCCCCAAAACAGGAGTGGGAGCTAAATAAAATAGGTGCAGAGGTCGGCAGATAGAATGAAGATCCCGGCGATGGGGGGAGTGCTTTTATACCCCAGGGGACAGAGATCGAAAGTTCAATAAAGGCAGGGGGTTCAAAGTTTGAACCAGGGACAGGGGTATTGCGTCATAGTAACGCAGTTGGTCTTTAAACTATTTTTAACAAAAACCATTAATCATTATTTGATATATTTTATAGGACAGTATCAAAAAAAGGGGTTTTCCCATAACAGAGGTAGTCGGTGATAAAGGTGCAGCTGAACCCACGCTCATGAGATGTCCAAAAAATAGGCTTATACTGCGACGAAGGATGTATTACCGGCAAAAAGAGGTGTAGCATTGGCCGAGCAATCCACGAAGAAATTCAGACGATTTCGATACTCGGCCATATCGTCCACTGTTACTAATTCGGCTTTGACGCCAATCAGCAAATCGGTTGAAGCCAATCGTACGCGTGCCGAGCCATTTGTCGTCGCCAGGACACCTGTCTGGATTTCAATAGGTCGATAATCGAGTGGCCTGCAATAAACTGAAGTACCGCCAGGTCACTAATCCACCGGGTTTTTTTTGCCGCTATTTCACAACACCGACAAGTTCAGGCAATGTGGGAAGTCTCAGCAGTAAGCTGAGCTTGTTCAAGGATAATTCGTCGACTGGGTAGCTCAGGCTTCGCTTGTTTGTTATGCCTTTTATGCGTTTTGTGCTGTGTAACAGCCTTACAAAACGCATATTGTCACGGGGTTGTCTGTGTATGTGTGTGTGTGTGTTTCCCACATTTTGTCCCGCACTTTCAACTCGAGAACCACAAAAGCTAGGCGGCTGAAATTTTGGTATAGTATTCCCCTCCAACGGGTGAAGCGGCAAATTTAAGTTCAGCCTTCCCGTACCCGCGGTAACTCGTACGGCCCCGTGAAAGTTTTTTACGGGCAAATCAATATCTCAGGAACCACGGAGTCCAGGAGGCTGAAAATTTAGGGTAATGACCCCCTGCCCACGCTCAACCTTGCCCATTCAAATCCAGCGTTCCCACGCTCTTGGGTATCATCTACGGCCTCGTGAGATTTTGGCGGTTAAACTATTAACTCGGGAATCACGGAAAGGTATTCACCCTTCAAGGTTTCGAATTCAGCTTTCTTGCGTTGGTGCGTGAAATTTTTAACTATTTTCCAATTTTTGAACTATTTTTGCATAGACAAAAGTACAAGGCAGTGAAAGTCATTAATAGGCAATCGTTCGATGGGCTGAATTGCACAAAACGCATGATCGCACCG